TGGAAAAACTTGCCCCAATATTGAGATGAAAATTTGTATAGAAAATTCATTAAGCAAGAACTCTATGGTCTTGCCTAATTAAATTGATTTATTGATAAAGTTAAGGCAGGAAAAATATTGAATATTTAACGATAATGTTAGGAGAGGAGGAAAACTTGTTGGCAGAAAAAAGAAAAGAGGAGAAGAAATAAAGCTGGCTCTTACCTGGCTCAATTGGCTGACAGCCTTCGGACTCGGCTCACAACTCTTGGCAACATAATTCAATTGGATTGCCAAAGGACTTTGAGCAAAGGATATTTTGATAGGCCATGTGTGCGCTTAGGTGGCTGTTTCCTGTTCTCTTTTTTTCCTCTTTTTTTGGGGATATTTTTCTCGGGTAAATGGGATCAAGTTGTCGGTGCTTTTGATTTGGGTTTTCCGGCGGATAAGAAACCGGCTTATCAACGTGTTAAGCCTTGTGTTGTTTGTTATACTCCGCCCTCTTAGAAAATATTTTCAAGCGTGAATATTTATTTTTTCCTTTTTTTTTCTGTTTTATTTATTGAGGAAATGTGATTGCCCCAACGTGCCTCATTATAAGCTTTATCAAATCCAATTATGTCACAGTCTGACAAATTTTATGTTTTATTATCATTCGCTATGTCAAAATATCAATTTGCTATGCAGAAAACGGAAAAACTAGTAATAATAATAACGTATTTTCCGAATGAGCCAGCTCACAAAAACACAAAAACTGTCGAGCATAAAAACAAATGAGATTCTGCGGGGGTTTGTCCCGTCAAATAAATCAAGAAAAAATAGAAAACAAAATGAAAATTGTGCACACCATTAAAATGCAATATTAAATGCAATCAGTGTTTGGCACAGAATTACATAATCCATTGCGCATAATTGAAAATTTAATTTCAGCAAACCAAAAGCTAGATTTTCCACCCATATTGAGTTCGTTGTAATGCGTTGGGAAATTGTTTGGAAATATTTATGCGCAAAATTTGAACCAATTTTTTGTTTATGTGGAAAACCAATAAATAGCGGCTGGATTTTTCAATGACTTTCTGCGTGTCACACTCATGTTTGCAGTCAACAATTAAAATTGCAAACGATTTAATCATGTAATTTTTTATTGCCATTTTGATATTTGTAATTTTACATGTCTTGTTAGTTAATTCAAATTGCTGTAAGTGGCATTTATTCGTTAAAAAAAACATTCTAAAAAATCAAAACAAAATATAAAAGTTATACCTTTTTCCTCTAAAGAAATGCGAGAAAAATATAATTACCTTAAGTCCTTAAATTCCTTGTCACTTTAATAATAAAAACCCCAAAATCCGAGTACTTTTTTTAAGTCCCTTTTCCTCCTCCAATCCTTGTCTCCTTTTACCCTTGGCACAAATGCCATTGCGCCGGCTTTTCATTGCGCTTTGATTACCAAGGCTCCAGTGCTGTTGTTGTTGCCTTGACTTTTGGCCACCGTCGCCGTCATTCTGTTTTTCATTTACGTCTGTGAATTGAATCAAGTTTTCCTCGTTTCCGGTGAACGCGAATCATTTTTTCTTTGCTTTTTTTTTGCCAACTTTCTTTGCCATGGATGCAGCCAAGTTTTTTCCGCCGGAAAACACAACATCCGCTTTTTATAAATTCTCAATTGTGCGCGAAAATTCAGCACAAAGGCAGCAGGCAACACGAGAAAAAAAAATATAAAATCAAGGAGTGGCAGAGAAAAAAAAGTGGAGTGACAATTGCGTTCTATCGCAGTCATTTTCACGATTGTTGCTCCATTTTCACGGTTTTCTCGGATCGCTGGTTACGCCTTTTTGCCCGTGAGGCTCAAACAGGTGACACTTTGACAGTTGGCAGTCATTTTAAGTGGATTTCCAATGACAGCTAAGCGGGAATGCTGTCCCATTTTTTGAGTGTAAGTCTTCGCTGAAAAGTATGCTATGAATTTGAATTTTATTAAGATTGACAGGAAATTATGGTAAATCAGGTTATTTTATGATTTGCAAATATTTTCTTTGTGTTGTTAACAAAAAAAACAAAATGAATTTATAACAAATATTTCAGCAAAACAGTTTACCTCATTACCGAAATTATTTTAATTAAATTGCCTGCAATTTGTTTACACACATTTTTGTGGTTGGCAAAAATAAAACAGGCTGCAGTCCGAATTGAAAGTAATTAAATACAAACAACTGGATCAAGAGCAATTTAATGAAAAGAGCATTTTGTAGTTAGTTAAAACAACATTTTCAAGGACTGAAGTTAAGTTTAATTTTCATTTAATAACTTGCTGATAAATAGCAGCTAAAATGGCAGCCAGAAATTGAATAGAAAATGTGGGGGGGGAGTATAATTTTAATTTAACATCGCCCGTCCCCTACTCTACTCTCTGCTAAAATGCCAAATTATGCACCCTGAATATGCTGTGGCATTAATTAAAAGCGACTTCATTCCCATCGCTCGGCTATGCTGTGGTTTTGTAGATGCAACACAAAGACGGGGCAGTGGCAGGGGCATGGGCAGGGCTACACTGACCACAACATTTATGGGCATTACGCAGAATAGTGCAGCATCGAAATGCAAACAAACTGGAGGAGCAACCACACAAAACACGCAGCACAACCGGTATGCTTAATATGCCCTTTAAATGGACCTGTTATGGTTGTTTATTTTTGGCAATGACTGGGCCGCAGCACCACGAAATTGCCCTTAACGTTGGCCGAATTTGTTGGTTTCAGGTGGGATTTTGAGTGTTTTAAGCAAACTAACTTATTTAACAATATTTTTAATAGTTTATAGAATAATATTTCCATCCTGTGACTTTCCATTTACTCAACTCCCATGACATTGCTGCTCCTTCTTCCTTTTTTACGGCCTTCAACCTTGCAACCTTATCGACAGCATCGCAGTTCGCCAACTGACCTTTCTGACAGTCACCTATCACAACGGGCCAACGGGTGCATCCATCAAAATGTGGGTGGTGGTACTTCGATTGAAAGGGCGTGGGCGGTGAGTGATGGGTGGTAGGTACGGCAGACATGGTTGAAACGATTTGTCTGCCAGCCAACTCGACCAGCCAAATGGCATTGCATGCCAATGCATTCGGGGCACTTGGATATCGTCTGCTGACTGTGACACGTTGACATCCGAGCACGCATATCCGTTTCCTGCCAATGGCCGTCATAAATAACAATGCACAAAGGCAGTCGGATGGGTGAAATTAACTTGGCTAAGAGATGGATGGAGGTAGATCACATCAACGTGACGTCCAAATGACGGCAAAGGGCAGCTATCCGACAGCTTGACCTTTGGTTTTCATTATCTTAGGTCAAAATTCAGCTGACTGGAAGGGCAGAAAGAAATTTTTATCAAGAGATATGTTAAGGTACCCATACCAAGTTCGTCATAAGTTGAAATCAGTTCGGAGTCTGCTTAACTAAGACATCATTTTAAAGTTCTGAGCATCTGTCAACAGATCATATCAAAGTGACAGACATGACCTTTTCTTTTAATTACATGAGCCCCAAAAATTAATCCAACCAAAAAGTGCTGCAACTTTTCTTAACCACGTGACACTTTAATAGTTTTAAGCTCGGAAAAGTAGAAGCTCACTTGGCAGGCCACCAAACTTGCTGACAACACTGCCAAAAAAGAGGACGTAGAGCAGTGCAGAATTAAGCCATAAAAGTTTTTACACCTCTCTCACACGGAGAACAGGTTGTCGGCAACCTGCCTCCTACTGCTCCTCCTCTGGCAGTGCCTCCTCATCGTTTCTTTTTTTCGGGTGGGGGCACTTTGCTGTCAGCAGTTTTGCACGATTTCCATACAAGAGGGTTGCCAGGCTCATAATGAAACACTTTATCATTACCAAAGTTGACAGGGCGGTGAATGAGCTACACTGCTGTATAGGAGCGTCGAGGAATAATTATTAAAAATGCTGAATTTTAGGGAGGAACGTAGTCTTGGCTTTACATTTATGTAAGAAATTAATGCCCAAAAACTATTATAAGTTTTGATATATTTTTTAAAACTTATTATTGATGAAATATACTAGCAAAGTTTTAAACATATTGTTAACTTACTTAAATAGTTTTCTTTTTATTCATTTACTCATAATTTTACCCACCCTACATTCCTTTATTTCCCAGTGCATTGCCACAAATTTCCGCTGGTCTGTGAAAAATGTTTGCAAAATATTTTTAAGGCCAAACATGGGGCATACATAATATTGACATTGACAGATTAGCTGCCCGGCGCACTCTCATAGTTATTACGAGCCAACTCAATTAGTACTTTATCGACAAAAAAAACTCGAAATGGAAACCTCAAATGAAACTATTCGAAATGATAAATGATTTGGTGTCAATTGCAGGCAACGCTCTCTGAGAAATGGTTTTAAAATGCATGTGAACTGCAGTTTTTATGCAATATCATCATGGCTGGGTATTAATCTAAAGCGTTTTTACATCGTCCAATTGAATTAGCCGAGCTAATAGAGTTCAATGGAGGAAACCTTTCAATTTTAACTGAGCCAAGATGGCACGTCTTGTGTGTGTGTGCCGGGAAACTTTGAAATTTAGCCAGGCTGAGCCGGACATCAATAACGTGCTGAAAACTTTGCTATAAACTCTTGGATATCCTGTCATTCCCTAGACTTCACCACTTTTCCCAACCCATCATCCAGTGGGTTGCCTCATTGATATGCCAAAAGTCGAATTAGTTGGCAGAGTGAGTGGGTGGCTTGTCTTTGTGTTTGTCTGACTTTGACGTTGCCTAGTATGAGGACCTTGGACTGCAGTTTAGTGGGTAGATTTTCCACCCAAATACGCACATAAAACTGGTCGAAGCTGTGGCTAATAGTTGGCCTAAATAGCCGTTAAAGCCAGCTGGTGAAGAGCGAGATTAAAGCCTTTAAAAAGGGAGAGCTAATGGAAAAGTAATGCTGGGTCAAGAACCACCTTATTTAACCACTTTCAAAATGAGAATTCTATAACCTTAACTTCTTTTCTTGACCCTACAATTTATTACAACTGCTTGACAGCCAAAATAGATTATAATATAGTTTTACAGTGATTTATCTAGTGTCAATTTCGATAATATCTTGGACTCGTAGACATTCTCTGCCAGTCAACTCAGCCCCGGGGTGATGAGGCCGAGTCATAAACATCAAATACAAACATTGAACAAAGTCTAGGGTCCCCAGTCCTGGGATATCAGTCAGCGTCATAAAACGTTGGGTGCACATTATAGTCACCATCTCATCTCCACATATATACGTAAACTATTTGAAGCCAAGCATTCTTTTCCCGGGGTCATAAGAGTCGTCTGTCAAAGAAGCAACGCCAACGTAATCCTAATTATCCGACTTCAAACCGATCGAATATCAACCTATTTAGGCTGTTCGGGGCAAGCAATTTGGTAGAGGAACTGCACCAGTGTCCTAGTAGGTCTGCCAGTCATCCTGCCAGCTGTGAGATAGGGTATCAGGCCATAGGTACTCAACAATCCAGTGCCATAGGTATCCAGATGAGCCCAATCGCTGCAAGGTACCAGTTCATGGAGAACAGCTGCCGCCAAACAGGATGAAGCATAACCCTCGCCATCGTTAAGGAGATCGAAGCTCAAATGTTCCGCCACACGATCCTTGTAGTATCGCCACAGGGGGAATCGCCATAAACGATCACCGGTTAGGGAACCAGCTCGCTGGAATTGCTTCCATATATAGTGAGAATTCGACCAGATTCCTGTGGCACCACCGCCCACTGCCTTCTTCACGCCCTTGCACATCGAACCCACATCCACCACTAGCCTGGGCTTATATGTGATCTGTCCATAAAGCATGGGATCCGATATGACAACCACTCCGGTTCTGCTAATATTACGCACCGCCAAGGATTTGGAATTGAGTAGGGTTACCACATCACCTGGCTTACAAGACATTCCCGATGGCAGGTTCTCGCAAAGCGGTATCACAGCCGTAATATTGATGGGCAAGGATAATGCTGCAGCTGCTCGCATGGCTGCCAAAATGACTGCAGCTCCACTCAGATCTCCACGGAATTCATCCATTCCCTTGCAAGGACGCAGGTTTATGCCACCGGAGTTGAAGGTTATGCCTTGACCCACCAACAATATGGGCTTATCTTCGGGGGCAGTACCGCAATAGGCTACCTCCAAGAGTACGGGTGGTTCACAGCTGCCCTTGGCTATCATCAAGAACGAATTCAGATGCTGCTGTTCAATCCACTCCATGGTTCGAACCTCCACGGTGATGCCACATGGACACAGAGCATCCACGGCAGCTTGGGCCACAATCGTAGGCGTCATACAGTTGGCTGGAGCGTCACATAATCTCCTGGCCAAATTCTGAGCCTCCGCTTTGAATAGACCCCTGGTCCAGGACTCCACATCCGGTGAGCCATGTAGCTCCAGCTTTGGTATAGTACTGCGATACTTCTTGGCCAGATTCTCTTCAAAACGCCAAATGGCCAAAGCGGCACCTTCGGCCGCCTGTTCGGCATAGTCCATATTATCCACATGAACCTCGGAGCAGCCGATGCTCTGCAGAGATCGGGCTCCAATCCCGGCAGCTATACGCACATTCTCCATGCCTTCGTCCAGCATTTCGAGTTCATTGAAGGCTATGCCCTCCAGACCAACACCCACCACGCAAACGGATCGGAAATCGGTGTCCACATTGTTGAAGACCTTGCCGCGACCCAAGCGTCCAGTTAACTTGGTCTCACATACCAATTCGGATAGCTTGCCCTGGACACGCTCGTCAAATTTCTCGCCAGCGGGTGTTAGTCGAGGACCCTTGCCAGATTCCTTTTCATAAAGGCCAAGTACGAGTCCTTTGCCACCTTTCACCGCATCACCGGCTCCGCAACCGGTCACGTGTCGAACTAAACCAATTTGCGGCGCGGGATTCACGAGAACGCGGCTCAAACTCCTAGCCAAAGCCGGTCCCTTCAGCAGCAGTTGTCCACGCATATTGTTTTAAAAGATATTATATATCTTTCACTTCTATATATTTTTTTATATATTATCTGCACAATTTTGACAACTGCCTTGTTTAGTGTATTTGTTGGTACTGGTTTCGAACAATTTTGATTTCGCCAAATTCACACGTTGTGTCAAGTGTCCAAAAAAAAAAAATAAAGTTCAAAAATATTTCATATGTTAACGTCAAATATGAAGTAAAAACTAAAACAAAAGGAAACACAAGACTGCTTTCCTTGCTTAAAACCGAAATACTAAATCAACCCGAACGGATTTTCATAAACTGTAAAGAGAGGGATTACTAGATCGATCAAAAATGGAAATCTGTGTAAGAATGGAAAAATGTGTATAGTAAGCCAAGAGGTAAACTTTTTAGGAGAGTGCTATCAACTAACCTTAAAGCGGATCTTCAGGCTTATATAAATATTTGAAAAGAAATTTATATTGGTAATAAAAATATACGTTTTTTAATATAGCTTATTTTGGTCAGAAACTAAATATTTAATATAGATAACATGTTGTTTAATATATAAAGATTAAACTAACATAATCTAAATTTGTCTTTGTCAACATTTTTACACTACTATTAATGTTTGGCAAAAATAGATCCGATTAGCCCTATTATAACTCTGTAAAATAATAAAGGGAATTTCGTTTAATTGCCTTTACATCAACTATTTCGATTTTCCCAAAAGCTAATTCTTCAACCATAAATAATTTTGATAATCGATAACTTACCAGCAAGTCGAAACAGTGGACCGAAAGGGTAATCGAAAACGGCTCCGAATGGTGTGCGTTTTGCCAATGGAGAACTCAAGAAACGATCTTTGGAAATCTTTCCTGTATCCAGTCGGCTAGTCGACACAGCTCCTGCTAATCCTGTCGTTGTTTTGAGTGTCCACAACGCGACTTACGTTCGGCACAAATGCAATTTACATAAAATGTTTATTCGGGTAAAATTTTGAAATGTTCTCGAGGAATTCTCGTTGTAAAGTGAACTTTGATCGGTTGACTGTCATGTCAATGACGATGAGATTTATAAATTATTAATCGGTTAAGGGGTCACTTTACAGTCAAAGAAGACAAAATTCTTAAAAATAAAGGGCTCAACGTTCATTGTCCCACTAACTGGTTAAACTTCCATATTTATTTACTATTATCACTTTTATTCAGTGCAAATTCAAATTGAACAAAAGTAAGCAAGAAGAACTGATTGCCGCATATTTCCCACGTGGTGGAAAACTTTTTTCCAACAATAAACTGCCAACCCTTGCAGGAAAGTTCATGGAAAAGTTTACTCCTCTGTTGATAGAAAATGTCGTTTATTGTCGCAGGAAAAAGAACAGAAAAATGGACAATAAAAATGCAGTTGACAAATTAAAACCAGCAATAAAATCAGTCAGCGACGTTAATCAAAATGTGCATATGGGAAAATTTAAAAAAAAAAACATAATCTACGTTTTATGATTTTATACTTTATTTCTTTAAGAAGTAATTAACAAAACCCTTTAACTATTTCCATACTACTTCTATATATTTAAAATTTAAATTTCAAACATTAATACAAAAATTAAATCGAAAAGGGCATGCTCAGTCCAAAAGATGGGTTTCCAGGTTGATGAAATTCTCTGGCAGATTGGATACACCTCCACCGAATATTGTGGACCAACAGGGTATCATAGCCATTGATAGAAGACGATACCAAAACAGCCATTGCAGCTGTCCATAAAGTTGAATGGTTCTCCAGTTGGAAATGCAGAAATGCTGAATCACCATATAAAGCCGCAAATAGTTGATAAATCCACTGCCCATAAAAGTCAATATCCAGGGCAGGGCAAATAGAGAGAATATATTCCACGAAAAGGGACTCAATTCCAGTTCGGAGTTCTTTTTATTTCTGCTGATCCAATTATTTTTCACATCCGCAGCTGTTAATAGTTGTGTGGCCTTCAAAACCCAATTAATTTCCTTAGATTTCTGCTGCTCAGTACTTTGCAAGTGACGACAGTACCAAATACCAATCATAACTAGTAGGGAATATATCATGGCCTTCACTACCATCCAGGGATTAAAGATATAGCGAAATTGCAGGGTTAAATTACGATCCACTGAGGGATAAGCTGATTTGATATTGGCATGTGCATGCACCTCAGGCTGGAGATTCGAACACAAGTGCAAGTAAGTAAGCAATCCAAAGTATCCAATGTCACGAATTTTGGGCTTAAACATGATTTTTAGAATTTTGATTTGAAAAAATGTATTTTTGAAGAGTAAAAATTTAATTTTCCTATACTATTATATAGGTTAAAAGGAAAGTGACATTTTAAGATTGATTGAATGTTAAAAGCAACTGCGTTTTTGGAGTCTGATCACAAATAATCATAGCTTTCAAGAAAAGTCGATAATTTTTTTAAAATTCCCGCCTATTTAAACAGTTTTAGAGCAACTATTAGCTATGCCGATTTAGTATTTTAGTAGTGATAAGCAAATATCTACAGATAAACCAGTATCGTAAACTTACATATCTACACGGTGTGGATCTTTGATAAAAATTTATACATTGCTGTGTCATATGTTTTAAAAGTCAAAGTTTTCGCGATGACCTATTAATATAAAATAGAAAATATATTTACAATTGTTGCTATTACATTATAAGATTTCATTAAATTAAGTTTACGCTACATTTTGTACTTTTCTGTTTGCCTATGTTTTCAACCAGTCTGACCGTATTTCAACATCCATTGGTATATTGCCTAGTATTTTTTTTTTGCGTGCTACGGATTATTTGGCCGGTATCGATGCGGTCATACAACTTTTAAGAACCCAAAAACGTTTTGAAATTGCTAACAAAAATCGAAAAATCACACAGGATGGAGCGCGAAATAGCGCACAACTTGTCCGGCGGCGAGCAGCGCACCAACGATGTGGCACCTGGTCAGGTGAAAACCTTTGCCGAACTTAGCTTAAGCCGGATCCTACTGAGAGGCTTAAAGCGCCACAATTTTGTGACGCCAACGAAGATTCAGGCGGCTGCCATTCCAATGGCACTGAGTAATATAGGTAAGTATTATATATATTATACATGAAACCTATTAATCCTTACCATATAACTTCAGATCTACTTGTACAATCAAAGAGTGGAACTGGTAAGACACTCATCTACGTCATTACTGCCATGCAGAGCTACCATGCCAAAATGTCGCGACCTCATGCCTTGATTGTGGTTCCAACTCGAGAGCTGGCCATCCAGGTGCAAGACACATTTTTCTACCTTTGCGAGTTCTATCCCGACTTCAAATCTGCTGCTTTTATTGGAGGCACCGATGTGACCAAAGATCGCAAGCGGATCCAGAATAGTCGCATTATTATCGGAACTCCAGGACGTCTGCTGCATCTGTATCAAAATCGTGTTTTAGATGTCTCGAAGCTGAAACTGCTTGTCTTAGACGAAGCCGATCAACTGTATCAGACAAAGAGCCTCCAGGATACGGTGAATCAACTTATAGAAGTCTTGCCCAAAAACCGCCAAATTATAGCCTGTAGTGCAACCTATGATCAAGATTTAGATGAACGTCTGGCCAAGATCATGACCAAGCCCATGCTTATATCGAATTCCGAAAGGGCCACTGTATTGTTGGGTATCCGGCAGTTTGTCTACGAGCTGCCACAACAGACCAATAGTGCGGAGGAAATGCGTCTCAAGCTGGAGGTACTTGCCCAAATCTTTAACCAGTTGCCCTATGAACAGGCCGTCCTATTCGCCAGCTCCCAGATGCGAGCAGATTCCTATAGGAACTACCTAACTGCCAGTGGTGTCCAGTGCAATTTAATCTCAGGAGCTATGGATCAATCAGAGCGCTTGAATGTCTTTGAAGGATATAGAAACTTCACGATGCGCATTTTGGTGGCCACCGATTTGATGGCACGCGGTGTGGATTCGCCGCATGCCAATCTGGTTATAAATCTTGATCCACCACAGGATCATGTCACCTATCTGCATCGCATTGGTCGAGCTGGTAGATTTGGGTCTAAGGGAATAGCCATCACTTTCATTGCCTCCCAAAAGGAGAGCCAGAAATTTAAGCAAATGTCCCAGAAAATAGCTACGGCTTGGTCTGTCCTTGAGTTTCCAAAAGAGCCAATGCCAAAGGAGTTTAATTTCTGGGATTTCGATAAATACAATTTCGGATATTACATCAAGGAGGACAACCCGCTGCAGGAAATGCCTGAAAAACGGAAGTATAGTCTTCAAAATGGGGAAGAGGAGAAAGTTTTGGACAAAACTGAAAAACCAGAGGCCTTAGAAAATCGTAAAAAGTTGGAAAAGGATTTAAATAAATCTCGAATTGGTGGAGAAAAATTACCTGAAGCCTTAGAAAACGTTGATAAACAAATTATAGATAATAAAAAAAATATTGAGACTAAAGAAAAGATGGACTTGGACAACCTACCAAGTACCTCACAGAAAAATAAGAATACTAATTTATCAAAACAATCTAAAATGGAAATTTCAAAGCAAGCCAAAAAAGTTCCTTTGGCCGAAGAGGAGGCCTTAAAAATGTATGAAACTTCAACAACGAAACAGGATAAACCAAATAGGTCTATCAATCCATCCAAATTATTTACAGATGCTTTAGCAGGGATCGAGAAACAAAATACTGAAGATGAAAGGCTGCTCACGCCAGTGATTACAGTAAATGAATATTATAAAGATGATACAAGTTATAAATCAACGGGGAACAAAGAGAATCAACCTGATAATGGAACAGGCTGTCCTCTTCAGATAAAGAACATCCTAAACGCAGGAGAAATCACATCGCCCGAACTAACACCTAACCTAACCCAGGAGCCATCGCCAACCACTGTGACACCACCTGCTCCGCCAGTCAATTCGATTAACAACAAGACCTATTGCCTGGCTGCTCCCACGCAGACCAGTTCGATGACTATCCAAAACATGGTCATATCGAATACCGTGGACGATGCCAGCAGCATCAGTTCGGATAGCATGGGATGTGGCTATCACAGTGATAAATCCTACGATACCATCTATACAACCAGTGATGAGGAGCTCATCTGGGAGAGATTTGAGACTAACCAGAAGCGTAAGCTGAAGAAAAGCAAGGCAAAACGCCGTCAGCTGTTGTACCAGAAACAGCAGCCTGAACCAAAGTCCAACCTGAATGTTAGGCGTAAACCTATACCAATGGTGAGTCATTAATAAAGTAATTTATAATCGCAAGTAGCTAAAACATTTATTTTCCATTTTAGACACCTAAGCTATATACAAATATATCACTTTTGACTGGCGGAAATCTGTATCATCTTCTTAAGAAATTCAAAAATCGTGAACGAATTTTAGAAAAGCTGCAGGACTTGCGAAGGAAAGAAAATATGAATAATACAAAGGCTGCCATCTTACTGGACAAGTTTTATGCCACCATGCTGTCAATTTATTATGACAATCCCATGGAGTCGAATAAGAAAGTATTACAGTCCCTAAAAGAGGATTTAGTGTCCATTGGATATAGTCCGAGTCAGGAATCTTTGTTATTAGAAAACCCGGAGCCACAGAACAAGCTGAGCGTGCATATTACCAATCGAATGGACATTCCACCTTTACCACAAGCTGTCGTGGCTGAAGTGGCTTTAAGGAGTGGATCCGAGTCAGTAGCTTCCGAGGACTTCGGCAATGAAGAAGATGACTATGATGATGATGAGGACGATTTAAGCGACGAGGAACACAATTCATCGAGCGGCTTTGTAGAGAGCACAGATAGTGCTTCGTCCGGTATAGATACCTCAGTTTACGAAACAGAACCATCTACCTATACCTCGGATAATTCTGATAGTGAATCTGATTATCTTTTTGATGTCACCGCGGATGATAGTGCATCGGATGATGAGAATGCTAGCAACGTCAGCTTGGCCGGATCAAGCTCTAAGGGCTCTGTCGAACTAACCAGCACCGGCGAGTCTTCGGATGATGAATCGATTACTGTGACTAACGCCTTTCCAGTACAGAGCCTTGCAAATAGTGCCCAGTCTATGTGGGTGAAAACTTTCAACACGCAGTACCAATTCATAGCCAACCATGTGGCCAATCACTTTAAAAACTCTAACTAAATTGCTGTGAAGGCGAAACTAGTCGAAACTCAGGCATTATAATTAACTAATAACTTCGGTCAGAAACAAAATGGAACAGTTCCAAGAGGCTGTATCAGTCTCTTTCTCTCTCACTCTTTACATCCTTATATCCTAGTCTGTTAACACTTTTTCTTTCACTTGAATACTCAATATCAAGATAGTTGATAAACCTAAACTTGTTATAGATTTTGGAATACGAACAATGAATGTTTTGTATGCAAACAATAAAGTGCAGAATTTGTTACCAAAAATAAATGAAATATAAAACGAATATTTATTGTTAATCTTAATTTACTTTGAAATTGCTTATGATTTGCTTTTTCTTTGATTTCATAATTGATTGTTTTTCATGTTTATTCATTCTGTAATCGCATTGAACAAATTAATCCGCAACGTGAAAGTTAAGACCCTTTAATCACAGGCAATGATTTATCTAAGAGATGGGAAAACAAACATTTTCCTTCGTTTCGTTCAGGCGGATGAAGGTAAAGAAGCGGCGCCAACTGAGTGCCGGGACATAAATCATATAGTCAGTGGGATCGGCATCGACCATCGGGCAACAGACATCAGCTGTGTGGCAGCCGCAGCAGCAGGCTACATTGTTGCACGGCCGCCGCTCACTTTGCATTGATTGCAACTGGCTCAAAAGGTGTTAACCCATTAATTAAGGTTTATCGAAAATCGTCCACTGGAAGTCGAAACTGCCTGGAAAATCACATAAAATGTATGTACTAAAACATTTTTATTTAAATATCTTATTTACTTTATTTATTATTATTAATATTAAGTTATAGTATATTTTAGATTTACATAAAAATTTGGTAGTGGTGCGTTTTTTAGTTACTTTGCAGTCAACTTAATTTCAAAATTTATAATTATTCTTAAGAAAGGCACTATTTTACGTCGTTTACAAATATTTGCTAAACAATCATACTTCTTCTCGATTTTTGTACGATTTATGTTTATGGGGTTTGGGAGTGACTTTTAATGGGTTAAGCCAAAGAGACGGTCCACAGGCGGCAGGCCGCGTCGGTGGCATAGTCAAAACATTCGCCCTGCGGTCGGGCACGCAAAAAGCCGGCATCTGGATGGTACTGTTCATTGGTCTCCGATCTCCAGTGCCCCAATACCCCCTCCCCTAGCATCCATTCGACCTCTGTGCCCCCCGCCTGTCCCCCTTCCACACCCCTTTTGCGTTACCAATCCAATAAGGAGCGTGAGAAAACGCGCCGCCAACGATCGCAAATGCAAAGCGGGTTGTGGAAGCGACAACATTTTCTAGATCCTAGAGACATGGAGAGGCTGCATTTTGTCGCTGCCGCATTTTGTGGCAGCCAAACTCAATTCGATTAGCGATAAATGCGAGATGCGAAAAAATGCTCTGGCCAGCTGTTGCAGGTGTTAAAGTCTTATAATGATGTTAACATTTTTATGGCCCACAACAAAATAAACTAAAAATTTGTTCAGCGCAATAATATTTTGCGGTCTCGTCGTCCGTCCATATATGGGGGCAAAGCCAATTGCCGCCGTTTCCAAGGGGGCTAAGTGGAACGCTCCAGGGGCCAGGGCAAGTTGCAGATAAATTTACAGATACATTGAGCCGCACAAAACTAATTAAAATTGCTGAACGTTGTAAAAACAATTATGGCCAAATTACTAAAAAATTAAGAAAAATATTAAAAGGGGGTAGAAGGGGTATTACAAAGAAATATGTTTTACAAGTTTTTTGGAGTTTTTTTAAATGGAGTAATACTTAAATATTACAAAATGATTCTTAAAAATCTAAATAAAATTATAATATATATTTTTTTATTTATAAATATATTTATACTGATAGTTTCTCGATTGGTGTTTGATAGTTTCTTTAATATCAAAAACAAACATCAAAATTGATCAAACAACCCAAAAATAATTATCAAAAACCATCTTCACCGCTCTAAAAACTAAAATAAAATCAAAAGAAGCACAGGAAGAAAATCGCATTAGTCTCCCAACTCCTAATTAGAATTTATTGCTTATGAAATTATGATAAATGAAGTAGAGATCTCAATTAAGATGAGGACACCGCTAATCAATTTAATTTAATCCTAGCCCTTGGCTAACCGAAGATTTTACCACTTCAAGAATAAACTCTATCCCCTTGCCCCTTTTATCGCCAGTTTGTGGGAGTGGCCCAAGAGCCGATTTATGTGACCGAATGCCCGACGCCTGGCCACGCATTCATAAATAAAAGTCATCATTAATTAAATTTAGTATAAACAACATGGCATGCCTGCAATTATTCACTCACTCATTCACTCGCTTGTTGCTCTTTCGGGCCAAAACGCGACGACATGCCAACAAAAAAAAAAAGAAAATAAAGAAATAAAAAAAAATATAAAATAAAATAAGACAAAAAAATCGCTAGGAAAACGCACGCAATACGCGCCATGCAAACAAAGCAGAAACAAAAAATAACGTTCACAAAAATGATCTGTGGGCAATTATAATGAATTATTTTGACACTTAGGGCCTGTGCAAATGCATAACTAAAATGCATAAACTTAATTTATGCCCTGGCCCACAGAAATGTTGTTTTATTGCATTTTAAATGTGATAAATAAACTTTGGGTTATGTTTTTCTTCTTACTTTTTGGGCCACATAAATAGAGTCCTACGCGAGAAATATTTTCTTAGGCATTTTTCACTTAACTACAAGTTGCATATGGCATGGAAAATTGCGCAGAATCCATTTTTAATTGGTGAAAAATAGCAAAGATTTTCCACGCTCTCGGTGTCGGCGTTTTTTTTTTTTTTTTTTTGCCCCAAAGGGTTTGCCAGGTAGCCACCTTGCCTGCCTTTCTGACCATGGCTAAGTTGGTTTTCTATTTTGTTTTTGGTTTTTACTACCAACTCACTCGAAGGCGATTAACATCGCCCCAAAGATTCGCAATGCCAATAAATTGTGCACATTATGGCGAGGTGAGCCATTGGCCAAGAGGTTGGCTATAAGTTGAAGGGATCAGGGGCCACAACTCCCATGCGATGCATACTTTTACGAGGCACTGTTTTTGAGAGTTAAACTCATGTTCGCTTAATGGCTTAAAATCGAAATTTATACAAAGATATATTTAAGATTAAAAGGTTAATTGGTTATTATATAATTTGTGATATCTTATTTCATAGGTTCATTGATTTATATTGGTAATAATATTGAGTTTATTTAAATGAAATATTTTCTTTTCATTCAGGAAAAAACAGTTAACACATCTTTCCCCCGCCTCCTTGGCTTCTCAGAATTCCGCTTGCTTTGTGCCCCCTTTCAAAGCCCAATCATAAACCTCTTTTAGAACGTCGCAAAGACGGTTAAAGTGCCTTAACGGTGGTGCCCAATTGGCAGCGAGACTTTTTGGCTTTTGTGGTTCCCAGGCGACTTGCCGCAAAACATGCGAGCTGCTGCGGCTTTAATTGTTGCCGCTGCCGCCGCTGCTGCTGTTGCCGCCAAGTGGATTTTCTAATGCAATTTTCCAAAGGAGCTTACGCAATGACCGGCAACAGTCACCACATCAGTAGTAGCAACAGCAGCAGCAGTAGTAGTAGTAACTGCAACTGCAGCAGCAACAATGGCAACATGTTGCAATGGTCTGCCGCATTGAACGTGTTGCGCGCATAATTACTAAACGCAGTCAGTCGGTGAGTAACTGCGGCTTTTTAATCCCCTCCCCCCGCCCTACCTAGAGCTCATAGCCTTTGCTATATGCCGATCTGAGCCATAGTCCCAGATCCAGTACCAGATTCAGAGTCTCAAGCTCTGGCAGTAATCATTCCGCACATACGCGCATATTTAGCATTTTTAAATTGTTGCATTTCGCGCATTTTTTATGACAAGAGCGAAACTTTGATGCTGACGGTTGGCCATCACACTGAAAATAATTTTCATGTTTAGCTTACGTCTTTTTTGAAAAATATTTAAAACAAAATTTCTTTATTAATTATCAAGTTAAATGTATGATCTAAAGTTTAAAAAGTTTAAAGTTTTATTAAGACAATTGGTTTAGGGACTCAAAAGTGTTAAAAAAAATACTTTAAAATTTTAGAAATTTGTGTTCAGTGCCTTACTAAACCACAGGGCAACCACAGCATTACCAACCGCAGCCTCTCGTCCAGGTGGACTCCGCCACTCCATCGAAAGTTCCTCCATCCCAGCCAGCTGCTGTCTTCTGGTCCATTCTGCCGCACACATGTGGCCCATAATTAAAATACATATTGCAAATCACACTAAATAGTTGCTGTTGCTCAGGTATTTCGGCAGTGATTGTTGTGGGGGGAATTCCAGGGGGTGAAGTTGGATATAGGTACTGGAAAGTGTACCCACAGGAATGTTAATGGGTTCTTCGGGAATTAATTGGTGATAAATATTAGCTCTGAAAGAGTTGAATATTTTAGTTGTAAGAATGAAATGGAAAAATGCCAAGAACAAAGAGAAGTATTTTAGGTTTTTAATAATAATTAATTACTATTAAAACAAGGAAACAAAATATTTTACGCTCTTTCTTTGGATTTATTTTAACGGACCTTCAAAAATCGTGTTGAAAAATCATAAAAAACGAACTTAATTAGGAACAGTTTTCTAAGCCAATTAAAAGCATTTCTTGAAGCATAACCCAGCACTCTTTTATAGCACAATTCCTAATCGGCGGAAAAACTTGTGTAAATGAGAAAATGCGCCAATAAAAGCCTGTCTTTATCTTGGCCTTTCTGTAAGAAAAGGAATTAACATTTTAGAGGACCATAAAAATAAAATTAGTTTAATTTAAGTGTTGTAAAAAGTGTAAATAAAACAATTATTGAAACCGCATGCGAATATACTAAAGATACACCGTTCATAAAAACCAACTGACCAAAGTAGATATGGCAGTATTAAAAATAAAAAATAAAAAATAGTGCTAAATGCACTTCGAGATGCCCGAAGCGAAACGCATCGAAGAAATTGCTCAACAAGTGAAGTGCCATGGATTTCCTGTAAAACTGGTGATCAGCGATGACGGCAACAGGAAATGCACAATAATTGAATCTCGAATTTGAATTTGAAGTTGATTTTGAGCGGAAATTATAAATGATGTGCCATATATTATTGTTAAGATATAATGCGAACGTCTGGCAGCGTATGCAAGTAATATTTTGCAATTTGCTGCCAAGCTTTTCATATGTTATATGTTATTTTTATTATTTTTCATTTTTTATGTTGTTTGCCAATCTATAGCCAGTCGAAAAGCTCTCTTGTCGGCAGCT